CGCTACGAAACTTATGTTTATATGTAAAATGATAATTCTTAAGCATACTTGCTTACCCCCCCCCCTATGCCAACTCTTACATCTATAGCTCGAAGTTTACAAAAAATTGGTAGAGTCGGTGAAGGTAATTGTTTCTGAAAACTAATATTGTTTCCGTAATCTGCCCCCTCACTCAATTCTTATACCTATTCCGAGCCCAGTAGCTCAAAGTTTGCAAAAAAATCGATAAATCGATATCGACCGATGACGAAATGTAATCTTCGAGACCAGCTCGGCCCCTAAGTCGTGTGCAAAGTTTGGTCCGCATTGGTTCAGATATGCATGGGAATACGCACAGACACACAGACACATAACAAACAGACATTCACTTAAGTTCAGTATGTTAGAGACAAATGATAACAATAACAGTTGGAATTTCAAAGTCTGTAAGTCTCGTCATACAAATCGTAGGCGTCTACTTGCAACTGTTCATCACTAGGTGGAGGTAGAATGTTCACTATTTGTAGTTCTAAGGGCTAGTCATTCTCGCTACTCCATCAATGCTCTTCAATCTCTACGTGCGCGTATTCCCTCTGAGTGCATTTTCATTGTGTTTCAGACGCTGACATGATAAAACCATGCTTTCCTTTAGAGCGCATTGCATAGTTAGGCAACAGATAATATAAATTTTAAATACGTCTCTTGCAACAACGAATTCCTCTCAACTCTGAGATGCGGAAAATTAAAGTTTGCAATTGCACTCCAGAAGGAAGTAGTCTGTGCCAACCTCAACCAAGCCAAAATTAATGGGCATGGTGGAAGCCCGTGTAGATAAGATGAAGTACCTTGAAAAAGTAGGTAGCAAGAAAAGTAAAGTAGCAAGATTGACCAGCCTTAAGGCCCCGGGCAGACTTCACGCGATTTGATCGTCGCGACTGAATCGCGACGAGACAACTGTTACAACTACATTCCATGCCGATCAACTTGCATTCGGTTGTGATACTTTTCCAGACCGAAATTTTTGAATGTGAAATGAAAATGAATGGAAATCTTGGCGTTTTGGTCGCGACGATTAAGTCGCGTGAAGTCTGACCGGGGCCTAAAACTGCAAATAGTGAATGAGCCACGCTTTTATCTCCCTGATGATGAACGGTTGCAAGGAGACGACGCCTACAATTTTTTTTGATGAGATTGACAGACTTTAGAATTCCAACTGTTATTGCTATTATTTATCTCTAACATATTAAACTTAGAAGCATTGGCTCGGCGAATTTTAACTTATTCAAATTCTCGCTTACTTACGGTTATCCAATAGGCTGATCCCGAAAATCCAGTTTGGAAAGTTTGAAAATGGCGAAAACGAGCGCTTTCCAATGCCCTACGCTTTGAAATTGGACGAGTGCGGCGAGGCTGAAGACGCTGAATGTTGCGGGACCCAGTGGTTATAGTATTGCGGCGGGAAGCTTCGAGTGGTGAGAGGAGGATTGTCAACTCGTCCGAGCGCGTATAAAATTGACTTGCGCGTGTAAGTCTAACAGCAATTTTCTCTGCAGGGTCGGCAAGCTGTGCGACCGGGATCTCACCGTTTTCATACTTGGGTGATAAGCAACCAACCTACCGCATCAAAATCCCAAGTTGTTAGGCTTCGCCGATCCACTATATTTGAGTGAATGTCTGTTTGTTATGTGTCTGTGTGTCTGTGCGTTTGTTCCCATGCATCTCTGAACCAATGCGGACCAAACTTTGCACTAACTTAGGGGCCGAGCTGGTCTCGTAGACTACAATTTGTCATCGGTCGATATCGATTTATCGATTTTTTGCAAACTTTGAGCTTCTGGGCTCGGAATCGGTGTAAGTAGGTGAGTGAGGAGGCTGATTACGGATACAATATTAGTTTTCAGAAACAATTATCTTTACCGAATCTACCGGGTCGGTAGTAAACCTATCGAAACTCAGAGTTATAACTCAGAGTTAACTCTGAGTTACCTCTGAGCTAACGCGCAACATTTTGACCCCTCTAACAGGTGTTTGAACAGATCAAATCCGGAAAGCGATGATATGGCAGGATTCTCCTTAACACGTAGTTTATTCCTATTAGCGCAACATTGTCCAAATCTTCCTGCACAAGAAACAGCGCCACCGAACGCGCAACTAGTGTCTGCGATAACTCTGAGTTTGATGCGCGTTCCAGTCTATCGTGGAACTCAGAGATAACTCTGAGTTTGGTCAGAGAAAAAGAAATAGTGCGCGAAAAAAGAGCGGCAGCTAAAAAGTCCTCTGGGGTACATTTTGCTCGTAGTTTAAGCAGGCACGATGGGGATATCTTGGTGCGCAGTGATTTACAAAATTTTGAAATTTTGTAAAAACTTGGCCCAGGGGATTATTCGGTGCGCTGGTCACGCATATGGTAACCATTTCTCACTATGGGGTCATGTAGAGGTGTTACGGTAGGTTTACGGTAGATGGGAGAAAATCAGGAAACCGAAACTAAGGAAAGGCACGAAACGGAGACGAACATATATAAAATTGTTTTTTCTTTATATTGGTACATTGGGGTTAGTCGGGGCGCCGAAATTTGACATGCAGATTATACTGTGGTGTCATCTGACGAGGTTACGGTAGGTTTACGGTAGATAGGAGAAAACCACGAAACTGATCGAAACTTGGTACAGTGGGGTTATTCGGGGCGCCGATAACAAATATTTTTATTTATTTATTTTATTTTATTTTATCTCTGCATACAATGATGCGCCAAACGAACGTGATAGTTCAACAAGTTTGTCTCGCTTTAAAATAAATGATGAGAAATAAAGAGCTAATTTCTCGAAAGAATATGACATGTAAATTGTACTGCAGTGTCATCTGACGAGGTTACGGTAGGTTTACGGTAGACGAATTGAAGCAACGGAATTAGCCGAAATTCGGTACACTGGAGTTATTCGGGATCCAGATTACGGACAATCTATCTGCTACATACACTGGTGACATATGAAACGGTTACGGTAGGTATACGGTAAGTAAGACGAAATCATGGAAGGGCAAACTTTGCCCGGAGGATTTATTCTGTGCGCAAATCCTAGTAGTCAATTCTTATCATTGCGTATGCCATCCGCTTTCTCTATTGTTTGAAGCTTTCAGCTGCGCAAAAGACCAATCCTCGTGATGAACCATCACTGTATGATAGAAATGAAAATGAGTGAGGCTTTGGTATAACTTGTTTTGACCTGCTAAGTGTTAATGGATTGAGTGAGTACATTATGGCGGAGCAATTCTGGGGTTCATGGGTGTGTCATGGTCTAGCGGTTTGGTGATAGGATCTTTACGCTAGGCCATACAGGTTCGAGTCCCTACTTTAATGTCGCTTTTGCAGCAAAGTGCTTAACAACTCCTCAAAGCCGAACTCCGAGCTTGAGAGTTGGAGTTCGGAATTACGAAAGCGGAACTCAGAGTTTTAATAAGCGTAACTCAGGGCCGCATGCACTAACCTCCCCGCGGGGAGGTTAGTGCATGCGGCCCTCAGAGTTTCAAAAACGAAACTCAGAGTTATCTCTGAGTTGACGCGGAGCTTCAAACTCGGAGTTTCGACCGGATTACTACCGACCCCCGATTTTTGTAAACTTTGAGCTACAGATGTGAGAGTTGGCATAGGGGGTAAGCGTGTATGCTGTATAAGAACTATCAATTTACATGAAAAACGTGAGTATAGTATCTGCAGTCAGAATGATCTGTAATCATTCGTGGCGATATTTGGTCAAAATAGGCGATCTCGAAATTTTGAACGATTTTCATGATGACGTGAGTTCGTAAACTCACAATTCGGCAATCACTACATAAGGGCCTAGCTTAAGCATTCTCTGACAGCACTGTCTCTAGTGAATTCAAGTTACAAAAAGGAGCAGGTAAGTTGTCCAATAGATACGCGAAAAGAACAGACAGATTTAGGAACTTGCGTAGTATCGCTGCATTCCTCTCAGCATAACCTTGCTAAAAGAACTTACGCTGCACAAAAAGAGCACTATTTTCGTAATCACCGAGTCCAAAAACCCCTATGCGAAGTTTCCGATCAATCCAAGATCGTCAATATTCTAGCCAAAACCTGCCGGTGAGCTTCAGAGCCCAGAACGAGAAAAAATCAAAGCGCCTGAATTTCTTGGAAAACTTGCGCATAGAGGTCATCTAACCTGCTAATTACGAAAAACACACCAGCTTTGCAAATTAGCGTTTTACTGTATGGTTACAGTAGCTAAAATTTGAGAGACATCGATTTTCTACAATTCACAGGCCTATCTATCTTTATTGAAAAGGGATCCTCTGTTACTCTCTAGGGCGTTATATTCTACGGAAAGCTCTACCGAATCGTGTTTACTAGCATTTCCCGTGTGTGTTCTTCGCTGAGTTACACCACTACGAAAACCCGTCCTCACACAAAAATCGAGCAGACTGAAAACGGAATAGTAAGAGAGTGTAATATATCAGAGGATTTGCCTTGACGAGCTAGGTATTCTATTTTATGCAATCTGAAGGAAGTTATGGAGAAAAAACGAAAAAAAAAACGCGGATCGTCAGTTTTTGCGTTTTCTATTGAATAATTAGCGTGGGTTTTTACTTTTACTTTTCCTATCGCAACCCTGGTCGGAACTATATATGTGTACAGGTAACTTGACAGCGATAAGATAAGTTTAGGAGAAAGGCTGCAAAAATGTGTTACGCTGGTGGGCGTAAAGTTGGCCAATTTTTAGTTTCTTTTTTGGGTAATTTTATATAAAATTTACTTTGTACTGACTTAATCATAATGCTTTCTTAAACTTTTTTAATCAGTCTCGAATCACTGATCCTGCATTGAGCAATTGGCTTTTTTTTCATTTACATCATATCATGCTAACATGCATATTTCCTGCGCTCTGCAAGGAAACGCACGAAAGCAATAGTCTCTTAGCTTCTACCCTCAAAACGATATCCAGCCTGCCCGTAAGCCACCTGTGCAAAGCCTGCACTGTGTGCTCAGTTTTTCGTCACTGTTTGTATCAAGGATTTGTGCATGCAAAGGTTTATACGGATTATCGGATTTGATTCGGATCAATTTTTGATCATTACCATTGTTAGAGCTATGCAGCGACCCATACAGTCCGGCTGCACCTTGGAACGTTCCTTATTGCAGATTTCGCCCTAAAATATTGTTATCAATACTATTTTCACACAGCTGCTTGTTGACGTACTTCGCGGAAATAATGGCCTATATCTTTTGACCATTATGATTGCTAGACCTACGCAGTGTTGCAGACAGGCCTCCGACATGATACCTTCCTTTTGGCAGGTCTGACGGCAGGCCTAAAATATTGTTACCAATGCTATTCTCACGAAGCTGCTCACTGACGTACATTGGAATTGATTCCTCCTCCATGACACAAGCACACCAGAGCCACAAAGTATACGATGATGAACTGCATGTCGGATTCTAGAAAATGCGCAATAGTTTTAGGTTTAATAAAAACATAGCTTGAAGACGATGTTACGGAAAACCACAACTAGTTGATAAAAATATGGGAGAGGATGAAGGAGAGGGGAGTGGTTAATAGTTAAGGAGTTGTGGAAGTGAACACATACTAAAGATTTCTAGATTGACGCTTTGCCCAGCGAAGTTTTAATGTCAGCAAGCATTCTGGCCAAATATGCTAGTTGAAATAAGCGGGAGCAAAACCGTCAAGGAGAAAAAAGACTGATTGTGCTTAACACATTCACACTTATATTTGTTTTGCATCGGTTTTATTTGAAATCGGAAATTATTAGGAAAAGCCGAAGTGCCGTTAAGCTGCCTGGCATACAAATCAGGTGGAACAAATTGCTGTCAAAAGTATACATATAGCGAGAACAAATTGCACTTTAAACAGCCATTAAGCGTTTTCCCTGAGACGGTTTGAAGCTACCCACAAGAATTTTTAAAACTTTTGACAGCGTTTGCTTAATGCAAAAGCTCTACATCATAATACGTTGATCACAACTTGTGAGCACCGTCGATTTGGTGAGAATTAAGTGCAAAAATGCTGCGACTACGCATTTCTATTATCTCGAGCATGCTACACTTGTATATCGAAAATATCATCAAATTGTGTGAATCTATTCTCACGTTTTCGCTAATTTTGGTATTCTGTGCCGTATCAAAGTGCGTAAGTGGGTCCAAAAACTCTTATCCTCTATTCTCTTATTCTATCAATTTTATTCTTTATTTTCTCCTGCTGAGTTCGGAAAAGAAGTCAAGGACTTCAGATTGAAAATTAAGACGGCAATAACTCCACTTTTGAAAACTATCTTACTTTGTCACCCAAAGATGGAAGCTCTTACAAAACAGGCTAAAAATTCTGCGATGTGTACGAGAATAGTGCTATAGGGTGTCCCAAAAGTCTTTAAGCCTAATTTTCCAACGTAATAACTTTATTTTCCTCGCTTTTCAGTAAAATTTTGCGTATAAGCTCTTCGTCTAGTCGTCAGTGTTCGTCAAGAAAATTACATCTTTTGCTCTTTACTTTCTTAAGATATTGGCCCGTAGTAAAACTCTATCAGTTTAGGTCAACTGACTTGAACCCATCAGTTGATCTTACGTCAGGTGAAATGATGACCGCCCACCTTCCCATGCTATAAGCATGGCAAGTGAACCGACAAATGGCCATCCGTCCACCTGCTGCAGTCAACTGTTGCACTCGGTTCCCGTTCAGTTGAGCTGAACGCGAATTGATGTTATACGAATGCAAATAGTGTGGGAAAGAGGAGACGCAGAAAATACTTCCGTAAGTTGCTCCTGAGTAACTTACGATACACATCAATTTGCTTAACACTGCGGACAAAATGGGGCGAAACTGCACAATACTGGGGCCCAAAAGGAGGGAATCGATGAACAGCTGATTTTGGCGTGGAAAGGAAAAAAACAGATTTTTTCCTTTTTTGTAAAGTTTGCTGACTTTTTTCTGATAAGCTGCTCAAAACATTTATTGATTTAATTCATTGAGTTTATGTTGCAATCATTTCCTTTTTTTCACATGCATGTGCTAGGCGAAATCCTTGATAGCGATTATCGTCGATTTTGCGAAGTGGTCGCTATCAAAGGCCAGACGACGCAGCATTGTGACGCTAACCGGTATTGAAGCGTGGCCACGCACCTTTAATTCCAGTCGCTTACCTTTCGACCAAACAGGCTCTAGCGATTTCCTTTTCAAGAACACACACACATGATTATCATGATTAGAACGTGATCCGCATCCGGATCAGTAGCTCATTGGATGCTGGACTGAGGCGTCCTACGTTCAACGTAAGACCGCACCAGTCGCGTTGCACTGATGGGTGGTTTACTAAGCGCCATTGTTCTCGGAGCAAACAGTACCACGATTCTGAGGACAAACCAATGGAAACATACACTTTATTAAAACATGTATAGCTCTTTTGACTTTGAAGCTCTTACAAAACCTTAAACTGCATTTTGTAGAGCTGGCTTCACTCTACATTTACAGTGCAAAACCAGTAAACAGCCTTTGTGCATTAATGTAGGATTTAGATACAAACACTTGAAGCAATGCCGTGCCAAGGGAAGAAAAAGTTCCTGGAAATAGAAAATCCGAGAAAGCTAGAAACTCTAACACCAAATCAATCTGAGTCATAATTCTAGCCGCAAGCCCTGCATTTTTACTGAAACATTGACCCGTAGTAAAGCTAATTCATTTCAGGTGAACTGAACTGAGGCCCTCATCTAAGATTCGGTAAGGTAGACTGCCTATCACCAGCTTCCCATGTAATAAGAATGCAAAATGAAATTTCAGGTGACCGTCCGTCCACCTGACGAGGTAGTCTACCTTACTTCAGTCAATCCACATTCAGTTAGACTACCAATTGATTTAAATAGTGTGTCAATGATGATACGCAGAGAAACTTCACGTAAGTTACTCCCGAGTAACTTACGATACACGTCAGTTTAACATGTCGGTGAGGAGCCACAGTGATGCTGACGAGACTTAACAAGACCTTACAAGTGTGGCCACATCCTCGCCGCTAGTCCAATGACGTAGATGTGAATGTTTGGCAAACTCGTCTTGATTCGTATACTTGCATGGACGTGGCGCTGGTTGGCAATATCAATCAATGGCTCGACTGAAGGCAAGCTGACTCGTCGAAACCTCAACTGAAATTTTATTCAGCTGAGATCGAATGAAGCAGCTTTACTATGGGCCATTATTTTAAATTCACTGCGGGTGTACCATAATTGCCGTTTTCTTGATGTTCTCAAGAGCTTGATTGTTACATTTTGACACTTTTGTCAAATCTCACAGATATACTTCGCCGACGAACGTGCTTCCAATCCTCTGGTCAAGAGCCCTTGACTTTTCTTTGTGATCAGTCATAGAAAGCAAGGCTTGCTCTATTGCTCACTAAATTTTGGACACTGTGGATCGCTTGCTTCAGAAGGTGTGAGGCAGTCTCGACGTCAATTGCCTTCTGTCGCTGCACATGCATTCCGCAAGCGTCGGAGGGTCTGTGTGTTAAAGAGGGGTTCTCGGAATCTGAATGTACCTCAGACACTAACCGTTGACTCCCACAAGAGATCCGCCCACAAAATGGACGTTCGCACCAAAATCCGTTGCACCGGCTGGAGTCATCATTTTAGTTTCGTCCCGATTTTGCTGCGATTTTGTCCCGAAGTACACTACGCGCGCATATTACGGTGAATGTTTTGAAAGTTGCAAAATAATTGCCATTTCTTGATTGATTAACTTCTGCTAATTAGTGCTCACTTCTTCGACGTTTTTGTTTTCGCTCCTATTTTCACGTTGTATAATCGCTTACTGACATCACTCGGGATTTTCTATGGCGCAGGCTGGTATCATTTGCAGGCGACTGTGATCTTCCTTATGGATGACGCTCTTTGACTGGGCATGTCTATCCTTTCACTTTCACATAATTTTCATCGGTATATAGCATATTTGGCAAGCTTCAATACACTGCTTTTCTTACAACAATAGTTTACACTATTTTATTTCAGATCAGGTCGCGTATCCAAATTGGCAATTTTAGCGAAGATCCCCGCTTTTTTGTGCAAGATCGATGGTGCGCGCTCTTTTTTTCGATTTTTTATCAGGATGTCTTAGGACTTTTTGACTCAGCAAATTTGCGGAATGCAATTTTTCAGACTTGAGCAAAAGGTTTTACATCAATTTAGAAGACGAAATATGATCTTTTTAACCTATAGTATAAACTTCCAAGCCTGCATTTTTTATGTGAAATGCACGCTTGGCAGTTAGAAGTACTAGTTAAAAGCTATCTCCCACCACGAACTTTTTTGAGAAACTCAAAAGCTCATTAGCTAATTCGGCTAAAACAGCCCCATGCCTTTTTTCTTTCCAGTTAGAGCTCCACGATCTTTCTGATACCAAGGTTTTGGCAAACATGTCAGTAAATGCTTGCCTGCTCTCTACAGGCTTTTCCTATCTTTGCCATAGTACACCCTCCCTATTCTCTACTCTCCAGAGAGCACCTTGAACTTGTTATGTTCCCCGCATTTCTCCTTTGGTCTCCTTCTAATGGAGATTAGAGAAATAATAAAGGAATAGAATGGAATTTTTAATGGAAGTTTTTATCTTTTTTCTCTATGAAGCGTTTCTCAAGCAGAATTCTTTGAACATTTCTTCGCATTTTTCATTCTAGCCCTAGTTTTCTTCCTTCTTCTCATCTCAAAATGACTTTTACTCTTTGCAAGAATTTTTCAGCGTTCTCCAGACTTCCACACTCAGAGATCCCTTACCAATGTGCAGGTTCTTTCACACTTCCGAGAGCCAGCTACACTTCCGTGACTGTCCAGCTACGTTATTGTACCCCTCACCTCCTGGCAAATCCAGGCATCCTTTTTCTATTCTCTTCCGAAATTGCTTACATCTTCCCCGTTCACAAAATTTTCTTTGGAAAAACTCTCCAAATTCCCCTCCCCTTTTCTTTTTTGGAGACCCTTCCAGTCTGTCCTATTCTCTTTGGATCCGATGTGGCCCAAAATTCCACTACTTCTGCGCTCACAGTATGAAATGTTGGGCATATGATTGAGATGATCGGTTGAACTCATTTATGATATTGAATATGAGAACCGAAATCCTTGACGAAGAAAGTCACACCTATAATTGCTGCTGCAATTGTGACCACTTGCTTCGTTGTATTCCTGTACATTCAAAAATTGTTAATGGTCAGAGTTATCTGCTAGCATTCAAATTCAGCACATATAATGTTGAAAGCAGCAGATGTTTGGTGACAATGGGAGAAAGTGAAAAAAAAATGGAGTGATGAATACTTGGTCAAAAGTTCTGTTCGAAAAGGCATAGCGATTTTTTGGTTTGATGAAACTAATCAATAAAATCTTCAACCTTTTTTCTCAAAATAACAGCACTAAGCAGAAATCCATCTATATTTTGGGTCATTTCTCAATTATAAAACA